CTTTAAACTTTTGTAGCTCAAAACATTAACGTACAGCCCTGCTATTTATTTTATACAAGTTTGCATGTACATGTTATACAGCTGTATATTGTCAAACAGGGAAAAAATCCCTGTTTTTATATTTTATTTTGATCACAGTCTGTTATAATAAAAGTGCTTGCAGCATCTCAAATGTGGCTTTGACTTGCAACTTAACATGTAGCCCATTACGCAGAAAATATCAAGATATATATATCATGTATCACCATTCAGCCTGAAAATACAGAAATATGAATTTTTGTCCATATTGCCCAGCCGTATTGCAGACCACAAGTTTGAAAATGACAATAAATCTGGGGGTCTGGAGTTGGACAGAAATAAGTGAGCTCACCAGACCTGTGTAGCCTGCTCCTCATCGGCTACATTAGCCACTACTAGCATAACACACCTAAGTCTCTCACTACATGCTTGAGAGTAAAGAAGGCACCAGGTTTAAACAAGGAAGAAGAAGAGTAAAAAAAACAATATCCTGGAGTGCAGTGCTAAATTGATGGAGTACTCTTATCTGACCAGATAAACAGGGTTTTACAGTAGTCAGACTATGACAACATGCAAACACATTATGCAGTTTCCTTCCTTAACCTGATAACTCACAGTAATCCAGTGAGTTTTCGACATTATGGGCCTGGAGTTACTGGATGTAAAAATCTGTTTGTCAGAGATTTGTTAGAATATAAGTCCTAATGTGTCAGTTGACATTTGGCATTTCTTAGAAAAACAGCAATGACATAAATATATTTTTTAGGATACTCCATTTTGAGCTCCTTTAATTTGCATGAAAATTTGACAAATCGACCTGTTTTGGTCTTGAAGATTTTCACATGTAAAAACTAATGTAGAGAGCTTTGTGTTTGAGAGTGTTGTGATTGTGTTTGTGGAGGAGAACTGTGCATGTAAAGGCCCTTGTGTGTGTCTCTGCTGGTCTGTGGTGCCAGTCAGTATTTGACTCCCCTGTCCCCTGGGTGTCTCCTGTTGGCAGGGAGGTGGCGGTGAGGAACAGCCCCAGCAAGCTGGTCCCTCAGCTCAAACTCTCCTCGTCCAGCTGCCACATCATTGTGGCCGTCGCTGAGAATGACTCACCAGAGTTTCGCAAGCAGTCGGAAGACTACCACAAAGTCAGTGGAGCATGAACACTATGTTGGTTAGAGTATGGACGTAATTATGTATGAAAGGTGCCCTGTGGAGGTTTCTTCTTCACTGCCTTTGTTGGTGCATTGGTAGCAGGAATGTGTATCACATGCATGTGCTTCCTTGTTTATAGTGCAAACAAAATGGAAACCCGCCAGTAAAAACATTGCACTGCAGCACTGCTAGTGCTGTAAGATTGTAAAATATAGGGGGACTTAGTGGCATCTTACAGTGAGGACTGCAGATTGCTGAAAGCTGTCCATTCTGGGCTACTGTAGAAACATGGTGGTGCGATATGGCGATGTCCGTAGACAGGGACCCACTACTTTTGTAGATATAAACAACTCATTCTAAAGTAATGAAAACATATTGACTCTTTTTTAGGTGATTATACACTAAAGAAAACATACTTAATATATTATATTCCATTTCTTCCAATATTTCCCCCAAATCCTACTCACTGGACATTAAGGTTGAAGATATTTTTTTTTTCACGTTACCATCAATTTATAAGATGATGATTTTTTTAATGGTTTAGTTTATAAAAGGTCAACAAATAGTGGAAAGTGCCCATCACAAGTTTTTTGACCCAGAGGCAATGTCTTTAAATCACTTGCTATGTCCAAACCAAATACTGTATGAATTTAATTTAGAATAATTAAAAATAGAGAAGAGCAACAATTATTTACCTTTACATTCAAGAAACTGGAACCAGAAGAAATTTTCAGGTTTTCAAGTTTCAAGTTTTCTGTCAATTGATCTGGCTGTGACCTCTTGTCGTTTGAAAACATAGAAAAGTCGTTCACATCATTTCTTTTGAAGATGCTGAACGCCTCAGCGGGTTAACACCTTGACAGTTTCACAAACTGACAAACTAGATTTCAGCGTAAATTATTTATAATCATGCTTTCTTAAGATACATAAAGTTAGCATTTTTTTTTTAAAAAAAGATGTGTGTATATGTGCCACTTCTTTACTGCTTCCTTCTGGCTTTAAAGACTTTGGAGGCGTCAGGACTGGATGTGACCATGGAGGATGTGCCGAACACAGACCACTTCAGTATCGTTGAGCAGCTGGTAGATGGAGAGTACCACCTAACAAAGGTACACACAAAAATCATGATGAATGTTGATGTTCACTTTTTGGTTTCTTTCTTTCTTTCTTTCTTTCTTTCTTTTTCTTTCTTTCTTTCTGACCATCAGCTTTACAGTTTTAATCTACAATAATAAAGTAAATCTGTAACTGTGTGTGCTTATGACAACAATAGAAATCTTAAACCTGCTAGAACTGCTGATTTCCAGAACATGATCCTTGACACAATCAGTGACCTTTTCATCAAACATCCATCATTTTTAGCAGTTTTCCACAACATAAAGAATACACTGAATGCCTGTAGTGCGTTTTGTTACAGTCTTTAAGGTGGTTTTATGGATATTGTAGGCATGTGTTTTAACTCATTGCTACCCCTGCAGCTCCTCTTGAAGATTATGGGAAAGAGCTGAGGCTGTGGTCTTTGATCCGTCATCTAACATCAACATACCTCTGTTTCAACATTCACCTCTGAACAGAGTCATCGTCCACAGATACTGATAATATATGCATTATTTCAGGTAAAAGTACGAGTTCTATCATTTTGATTGATCAACAACGAGGTGGCATGGATTGTTCCAGCTGTCGAGTTTAATGTGTCATTAGTTGTATCTCTTTGTTAGCTGTAGACACTACTGTCAGGAAAAGCATGTTATGAAAATATTGTGTGCCTAAAACTGAGTCACTTCAAGGATGGTGATTGTGGCAAATTATACTGCTGTCAGACCTGCTCATATTCAGCTGTAAGCAGACTATTTAACAACCACAGTGCACAATGTTATCGTCAGGAAGCCACTGGCACATTAGAAGTTGTAGAGCTGATGGTTAGTTTGGCATATATCCAGTGTTAAGTAAAAGGGTGGGTCTGTCTGTTATGTTTTTCTTTCCTGTGACACTGTACCACTGCTTAACGTCCATGAACTGGAGCTCACGTCACGAGCACTGATACATCATACAAACTGAATGTAGCTTTTCATTGTAACCTACACAGGGAACTATATATTTGCACTGTGTATTTGATGATGATAGAGTACGTAGAAGAGTACTGATATTTAAATACACATTTTTAAAGAATAAACGGGGCTACATTTAACTGACGCACATTGTTACTGCTCCCATTCTAGCATCATAAATAATTGTTTACATTGTTGTTCGCACAAAGTGTTCTATTAATCATTACTGTAGATTATAAAGAGAATCATCACAATAAATATTTATATTTGAGAATTTCTGTACTGACAGTTGTGTGTGTATGTGTGGATGAGATTTGCTGTCATTTTAATTGTCTAATCTTTGTAGCAACTAGTGGCAGGTCATATTGCATCACTTCCACACCTGGCACAGTTGTCTAATTTTGTTTGTTTGATTTTTGGTGATTTTATTAATTGAACATTTATAATCAGCCAGTTGATCGGGCTCTACTGTCCAACACATCACTCTGATCTGCTTGTGTTTTTTGCAACTTTGTTCGCTGGTTTGACCAAGCCCAGGTAGCCAAAATAACCTGTCCCAACATCAGCCTAAACTCATCAGCATCCCGGATGAAATTAGCAGGCCGCACCCAGTTGCCCGATTTAGCTAAGACTTGGCAGGAATGAACTGAAGACTTGGGGCCAAATCAGCTGGCCCAATTCCGGCTGCCGACATTGACATCACTGGGTAATGCTGATCACTAAAGTACACTTGGGCAAGTCCTATATTATGTATGTTGTGGCCTTGTCTCAAAATCTAATTTTAAGACCTTTATTTAAGTTGATACTGGGCTCACATGGTGCACATTTCTAAATAAAGTTGTATTCAATCAGATCGCCACAAATGGAATCGGACACAGAAAACCAAGGCCAGTACAGTGTTGTATCGTGAGAGATAGATAGATAGATAGAAGAGAAATTCAGCTGTCCAGTAGGTCATAAAAAACAACATCCACACTTAACCTTCATCAACAATAATACAGTGGTATTAAACCTGACATAAGTTAAAATAAGTGCATAAATAGAAATGAAAAATTAAATTAAAATTGCCCATTCCACAGTCCAATCCAGTTGTGGCTAAGGTGATGTGTGTGAGTGTGTGTGGGACTGGAGGTGTTAAAAATGTTATTGTCGTGGGTATGTAAATGTGGCTAAAACTACTGTGGTCATAATACAGCCGCATTGCAAATAGTACGTTTATGAAGGTTATGATGTAGAGATTTAGTTGAGATGCTTGTGTTTGTTTTATTTTGTGCACCTTGGTAAATTAACCAGGGTATATTAGAGATAGACAATAAAGACAAGGATGGATTACTGAACGAGCCTACTGTGCACAGGCCCACGGGCCCGAAGTGTCCCCAGGGTGCTGCAGCCTAGGGCTTTACTTGCAAAAGGTCACTCAAATAAACACGTACTGGCCAGGAAAAGACTCAAAATGGCTGCAGAGGGATAGAAAACGGGGGCAAAGCAACCATAAAGAGACACAATACAATCACAAGAAATGCAAAATGACAGCAAAAAATAGGCAAAAGCACCTCAAAGTTGGTGCGTCTTGCTCTTATGTAAGAGAGGTGGTGGGGCCTTTTGTGCCCAGGGGCCCACTGTCTCGTATCCGCCCATGGATATAGATAATTAATGGGTCAAGGTCCAAGGGGCTCAACAGCAGTTTATTACCCTCTATTAAAAGTTAATCCTTTTTGTCACCCTGAGGAAAAAATGAGTATGAGTCACAGGGAGTGGTGAGATGTATTTTGGATATCAGTGGTTAAGTTTCTGTCAGACTGTGGGCAGTTGACGCCATCAGTTCAGTTGCCTCAGGCTCCAGACAGGAGGAGCTAATCGTCGAGAGGTTGCTAACCTAACAGTCCATCAAATATGGCCAGCCGGTCGGGCATGAGGACCCTCTGTACCAGGTAAGCCCTGAAATTTTTAACAGTCACGAAATGACGACTAGATAAATCGGAACTCTTCTGCGTCTTAAGTCCGGTGACTAAGCTCGTTATTACCGTTAGCATGTCAGAGGTTAATGCTCGCGAGCTCAAGTTGCTAGCTGCGGTTAGCATTGTAGCTAACCGTTTAAATGGAACTGCTGTCTCCTCGGCTCTTTATATAAGCAAGTGTTTAGCAGTGCTAACTGATGTATTTTATTCAGAAGTACGTCGGCTTTATATCGTTTAACTTTAGTGTGATTGAATTTGTGTTAAGATTAGAGGTTTAACGTTTTGTTTACTTTAGTGGAGCTGGTCAAAGTTTACAAGTGTTGCCGGGGGGAGCTTCACTGACTCGTCATGACTCTGTGCCGTCGTGGCTGTCTGAGAGCACAGGTATGGAGGAAGAGGGAGCTGTAGCGTGAAATAACATCCATTATCAAGAAAGAAATGTCTCTTCAGCCATATTGTTAATCTGTTAGGGACTGTTCTTTACGTAGCAGAGGAAAGGGGTGACGGGGGTGTTTTATTTTATTTTTTTCTTAAATTTTGACTCTCTTCAAAGCTACAGATATTTTCCCTTGAGCCTTTATGAGTGACTGGGGAAAGTGCCAGTCACCGATGGAGGCTCCACCATAAAATAAAATTTGTTATTCGATTTTTAACACTTACCCTTCGATGTGTAAAAGTTAAAAGTAAAGTTAAAGGAGAAATCCTGAGTTTGAAGAAGCCATGGCTTTACACTCTTGTCTTGCATGCTGGTGGTTAGTCAGTGGAGACAGTTTATTTTTGGCCATATTTTAAATGAGATATAGCCTAAAGTGATTTCATGAAATATCTGGTTATAATTGTTTTTCTAATGGAAGCATTCGTTGCACATGATGTGTCCAAGGACCTTTTGGAAATTTCAAAATGTAACATAATGTCTGTTTTTACAGTTTTTCAGCAATGATAAAATGTGTTATTTTAACAGATTTTTAAAGAAAACATGCCTGATTTTTGCATACCCATCAGAGCTGGAAATTAGCACCAGCCACCAGCCAAATGCTGGTAAAATATGCAAGTGGCTGCTTGATTTGCTTTCCAACCCTGATGCCCATTGTATGCTTTTTTAAGAAGACATGCCTGGGTTTTGAGTAGAATTAATACAAAATACAGCCATTTAAATCTGTATGCCCCTCCCCTAAGCCAACTTAAAAAACATAAATCCCTCCCAAATGCTTAAAAAAAATGATGACATGCCTCCCTCTTTTTGCACCAACCCTTTCCCCCTTATAAATAACGAACAGACCCTTATCACCAACAAAGACCAGGTAAGCACTAGTGCTTTTGTGTTTTAAGTTGACTCAACAGTATACAGTACTAAGAAGGTCTTGGAAACTGTTGGAACTGTTATTGGTCAGTGTTAAAGCAACACAAGTGATTACTCAGCTGCCTGCATCTGTAGCATCTTCCTCTATTATTGAATACATGTTAATAGTAAAAGGAGGTGTTTCTGTTAACTTGGATAGGTTTTGTTATGATTATGAGTGTTTCTGAAGGTCAGATTAAACCAACGGAAGACACAAACATTTACACCGGTGGTTTTCCCTGTTTATTCATCGAGTTGGATGTGACTCAAACTGAAATCTGTGTAGAATAAGATACATATAAATACCATAACACTAAGACATCTCCGTCACACCTACATATGCTAAATAACAGTCACAGACAATAATTAAGCAGCGCATCATAGTAGGAAACCATAGTTTGAGAGAAATAAAACCTTAACTTAGGGTCCAGCTCCTAGCTTCAAGCATTATGACATGTCTATGACAACAGAGTAAACTCCTCTCACAGGAGAGATGTGTTAAAAGCTCCAGAAAAAGCCAGTCAGTGAGAGTTAAGATTGTCTTTCAGTCAAATAAATAAATCAACCCTAATATAAATGAAGGGAAGCAAGCAACATTTCACATTTTAAAGCTGTAACCTGCAAATATTGGGTAGTTTTGCTCAATAAACTGGTATAAAAAATAGTAGTAAAATGGGAAATTATACAGTTTCTGTTGATTGACATCCTTTCAGAAGCAGTGCTAGAATCTCACACACAGACACATATTTAGAGGCGGGTGCTGCCCATGTTGTGACCTTAAATGACACTGTGGGCATGAGACATAATGGTGAGTCTTAGACGTATTCAAGCCATCCAGGGGATTTGGGCTTATACATATTGTGTGGTAACATCCAACCACATTTAAAATATGCCCTCATTCAAAGTGCAGCCTTGGCTATTAAAACTGGTTTCGAAACTCTTTGTTCAAAATTCAATGTGCTCACTGCTAATCAGTAATTGCTGACCAGGCCTTATTCTTTCTTAATCCCACTGTTGTTAAAACTCAGACACGCTATACCTTTTACAGGTTTGGTTTCCAGCCTCACCTTCCTAAGCGTTATCATTTTTAGAGAAGCCTCACTTTTTTTTTCTAGACTCAACAAGCAGGGGTAGAAACTTCAGAGTGTCATGGAGAGAAAAGGAGGAGACTTGGTGAGATAGAGATCAGTTATTCATGTGGGACACAGTGGCCGAAGGGACGTGGAGTTTATCATGGGATGCGTGCGAAGGCAAACAGCATGATGGTTACAGCGTGTTCAGAGGAGAAGAGGCGAAGGAAGGGTGAATAATTGAATTCTTCACACAGCATATAGCATACAGGGAGGCAGTGTTTGGGTCTGTGCATCGCGGGATGGGAAACAGGGGCCGTGCATACAATAGCGACAATAAGGGCATTATATATTGGTGGAGAGTGTGCCAATTTGACATGTCCATGTGTGTGTGTGTGTGTGTGTGCGTGTGTTTGTTTGTTTGTTTGTGTGTGTTAAAGAGCATGTTAGTTAAGGAGTATGAGTTTGTGTGGAGGGCTGCTGAAGAGACAGAAGAGAGAAGTAATGGTTACCAGCTGTAAAGGATGTTAGATTATGTGGTGCACTACAGTAATACTAAACAGCCTCTTGGTAAATATTTCTACAAACTGGTTTGTGTTGTCACCCATACTTTTAAGATAGTAGTGATTAAAGCAGACTATTCTCCCAGGCTGATATCGTTCTTTCACAGAAACATTTTGTTAATGCTGTGGTGACAGTTGGCCTATTTTGGGTCGTTGCTAAATGGTGATGATTTATCAGTTTAATTACACAAGTGCTCTGCTACTTCAGTCCCACCTAGATATTGCTTTAGCGCTGCAATAAATGTTTAATATACAGTTGCATTATCCTCCACTGCTCAAGATCACCTTTATTGTAAAGCTGAATTTGTTGTCGCACTAACTTCTTACAAGATTATGCTTCAATCATATGTTTAAATCTGGAGCAATCATTCCTAATTGCTAGGAAACTGGTTCACTTTTTCAGGAAATTGCTTTCTAAACAGCAGGAATAAAGGTCTGGTGTGCTACATTTGCAAAAAAAAAAAAAATTCTAGTAAATTTAAGTATTGTTGGTTGTGTTTGACTACTATTAAAGGCATGTTTAAATGTTTTAATGACTCAGTGCAGACGGGTGGAGGGAGCTTAACCCATGACTGTGCTGAAGCGTATTTACTGTAACTATGGTTGCCATTGACAACGGAAAGGTTGAGGTTCACCTTGGTACTGTTGTTCTCACAGACCAAGCACACCTCTCGTATTTCAGCAGGCAGGTTGTCTGTTGGCATGTACATATACATACCAGCCCTATACCGGTTTGTCAGACCTTTTTGTAACTCAAATGAAACCATCTGTATGTAGATCTAAAGAGGAAACTATAATTCATTAACACATGTGGGTTCAGTCTGTGGATCCCAAGATCTTCTGCACATTGTTAGCACAGTTTTAGATCTTGACATTTGGTGAAATCACAGGTATTAAATGTGTTTTCTGGCTTTTAGCTTTAGATAAGTTGTTTATAACACTGATGTGTACTACCAATAGAAGACTACAACAGGCATGAGAGGTGTCAAACTTCTACTACACAGAAGAATTATAGGAATAGATGATCATCAGGAGCTGGCTGTTTCCACACACAGCACTAGTGATGTGTCATTTTACAAACGAATATCTTTGGGGCTCAGAGAGACAAAGTCATTTGACATGAACATCAGAACACAGTGAAGTTAGTGATATGCTTGTCGTTCTGAGAAGACGCCCCAGCTTCCTACTCAGTATGCATATTAGAGGTTCTGCGAGAACAGTACAACACTCCGTTGTGTACAAAGAACAATGGGAACAACAGCCCATTTTTCTGACATGTTGTCCTCCTCCCCCATGTTTATTGTTTTATCTTCCCCAGCTATTGTTTTCAGTGTTTTTTTTTTATTTAAAATTTATACAGAGTTTGATGAAATTAACAATACACAACTTCACAAACAGTGATTTGATCCTTGTCAGCTGAAAACAATGCCATTTGTAACATGTAATGAACAATAACTAGACAATTTGACATGTGATTTGAATACCTTAAGAAATGTTAAGCAGACTTGGCATGTTTAAAACAATTTAATAATTCTTACAGTTTATGCAAACCCACTTTTCTCCTCTTTTGTCAGTTTTATTATCATTTACATTTTGTGCAACCACGTCCGTCATCAAGCCTCTGATCGGATGTGCTTCTCTATCCCAGGCTATAGTGGTCATCACCCCCAGTCCAAGCCTGACAGTGAGGATGGAGAAGATACTTCCATGACCTCCTTTGGTGTTGCCGTCCGAGGCCTCCCCCTGGCCTTGGCATCCATGACCCAAGCTGCCTCCTCAGACTCACGCTTCCACCCTAAATGGCGGGCGATTACTGTGGCCACCCTGCTGGCTTTAGTGCTCATGTTGTACCTGCACCGGACAGTCGGGGACAGAGACACTGTCACCAGAGGTTACAACCGCAACAGGTTTCACAGTTTGCAACTGCACAGTGAGGGTGACGGTGACGTCTTCAGGGACATTAACAGACAAACTGCACGAGGCCTCTCCCGGCACCAAAGAGCGGAAAAACCTTACAATGACACATACCCGTTAAGTCCTCCAGAGAAGACAAAGCATGGCATTCGTTACCGGATTGGTGTGGTTGCAGATCTGGACACAGCGTCACGTAGCTCTAAGGATCAGACGTGGTTCAGCTACATGAAAAGAGGGTACCTGACTGTTTCGGACAGCGCTGACAGACTGGAGGTGGCGTGGGATGCTGAGACCGTCACACTGGAGAGTCATCTGGCTGAGAAAGGACGAGGTAGAGGGACACAAACTGATCTCTGCTCACAATGTTTGTGTTTTCTCATCAGTATGTTGGTTACCTCACTGTTTGACTTGCTGTGCTGCAGGTATGGAGCTGTCTGAGCTGGTGACGTTCAACGGTCAGCTGTACAGTGTGGACGACCGCACAGGCGTGGTGTACAGGATTGAGGGCAACCAGGCTGTTCCCTGGGTTATATTACCTGATGGGGATGGCTCAGTCTCCAAAGGTCGGTCTCCAAAAGTCGCTCACTCTATCCATTGTATACATGTAGATCCTTTGATTTGTACATTCTTTGTTTTGCACTCAAAAATTTGAGAATGAAATTCCAAAAATATAGTATAAAGATAGCCACTATAGCCTTTCTTAGATTGTTTCAATGTGTGATGTGCCGTATTGTTGTAGCAAACAACTTTGGAAAGGTTGGCAGCCATTTTACGAGGTTTACATTCCCTCTTACAAACCAGTCGTTGTTCTGTGTGCAGGATTCAAAGCAGAGTGGCTGGCAGTGAAGGATGAGCACCTGTATGTTGGCGGCCTGGGGAAAGAGTGGACCACAACCTCTGGAGAAGTTGTCAACAACCACCCAGAGTGGGTGAAAGTTGTGGGCCACCATGGTGATGTGCAGCATGAGAACTGGGTGCCACACTACAACGCCCTGCGGAGCGCAACAGGGATACAACCACCAGGTCCTGACCTTTTTTGTTTGTTTGTTTCCTCTTCTTCTTCTTTATAGTCCTGTCCACTTACAACAATTACTGAATTTGCACCAAGAGTGTAGATTGGGTTTCAGATGTCAGGGGTTTCTTCATCCAAAAATAGACAAAATAGACAAATAAAACCTTGAAATAAATGGTTGTAGTAAAACTATTTAAAGTTTACATTTAATTTAACTGAAATAAAGTGTTCTGTTTGCATCTTTAAAGATTGAGGGGCTGTCCACACCGCCGCGGGTATTTATAAAACCGTGACACTTTGCTCACGGTTTGGCCTTTTCATCCACACCTTACCGCAGTTTTGGGCCCCTGTAACTCGAGTAATTTGTAACCGGAGTCCAGGGTGAACTTTTTGGAAAAGTCCGGTGTCAGCAGTCATGTGTGGACAAGATAACCGCAGTTATTTTGTCTCGTCTCCATTGTATGACGTCACAGTGTGCGATGTAAACAGAAAACAGCTGTGTTATTTAGCAGCATATATATATATATATATATATATATATATATATATATATACACATACACTTTACTTTACTTTACATTACTTCCTTCTTATTGGCTACAATGGCCTTACAGTTAGGAGTTATATCGCCACCTACTGCTTTGGCATGTGTATTACATTGCTTGATAGTGGAATTTGCGGTGTCATGTGGACGGAGGTATTTTTATTACACCACTCGTATGGACGCAGATTTTATGAAAACTGGAGGCCAAAAAAGTTCGTTTTTAAAAATACCCGTGCTCGTGTGGACTAGGCCTCAGTGTGTATGAATAAATCACCTGAAAATAAGAATTGCGTTTTTGTTACCTTAGAATGAGACATTTATATCTACATAGGAGAATGAGGAGGAAATGACACCCATAATTGGCAGTCACATTTACACACAGTCTCCATAATTCATCTGTTAACTCTCCGTTCTTCAACTCTGCTTGTTCTATAGGCTACCTTATCCATGAATCAGCAGCGTGGAGCGAGCGTCTCCAGCGCTGGTTCTTCCTCCCTCGCCGTGCCAGTCACGAGCACTACGAAGAGACAGCAGACGAGCGGCGCGCCACCAACCTCCTCCTGTCCTGCCCCGCAGACTTCAGCTACATAACAGTGCGGCACGTTGGACCCCTCAACCCAACCCACGGCTTCTCCTCGTTTAAATTTGTCCCAGACACAGACGATCAGATAATTCTCGCCCTGAAATCAGAGGAGGATGCAGGCAAGATTGCCACCTACATCATTGCGTTTACGCTAGACGGTCGGGTGCTTATGCCCGAGACAAAGATAGGGGATGTGAAGTTTGAGGGGCTGGAATTCATTTGAGGACGGCGCTGAAAGTGCACACAGTCCTGGAGGATAAATAAATCTGCAGGTGTCCTCTGTAGTTTAGACTGGACTGTACACGTGCAACACTGTTCCTTTGAGTCCTTAGTATTACATTCCCCTCAGTTCTACTGTGCAATAATGTCGTATGACCCAAAAATATATATTTTATAATTATATTGTGTGATAAATGAGAGGAGCAAGAGAAAGGGCAGGAGAATGCTGCATCACAACCAGGGAGGACAATTAAGTGTCACCACTTCAGTTTATATGTGACATGTTAAGGCGACACAACTGACTCGCTGTTACAGAAACAGTCACCACCCAATAAGATTTTAAACACTTTTATAATTAGACACTACTGATATTCCAGAGGAGTCGGGGTAAAAAGAAAACTTTATATACGAGTAGCAGTCAGTCTATCAAACACGGGGGGCCAGATGCATAAAACTCTGTGTAGATTCATGACTAAAACTGTGTGTAGGCACAAAGGCAGAAATGTGCACATGCATTATTTTCGTCCGATTTATAAAGCTGTGCGGCACCTGATCCTGTTCTCTAAATCTTGATGATTGTGGCACATGCACAAGCCTGATTTCCACACCCACAGTTCGCCATAAATGCTTGTAGAAATGCCCTTAAACATCTGTTTGCATATCTATACCACCACTCATTAGACTTGTAAATAAGACGCACGATAAAGAAAATGCAATTTTATGAACTGTCGCGTCAGTGAGGGCCTCTAATGGTAGCAGAGCAGCTGTCAATACACACAGCTGTGGATATTTGTAGCTTCTATTTCACCAATTGATCACATATCTGCAAACCATCATCACGGTAAAATCTCAATCATCATTATTGTTAAACGTCAGAAGGATGATCAATGATACATTCATAGCGCTCATGTTGAAACTGACTTTATAAAGTGCTTCACAGGACAATATCAAATAATCACTAACGGAGATGAATGTGAATAAAAATGATGACGAAACTCACCACTCAAACACTTAATTTATGAATGTGCCTTAGATTGAAATGTTACAGAGCACTGTTTAGACTGCAAAAACAATATCACAGTCAGTGATGGTGATAACCTAAAAATGTTATCTGTTTCTCAACTTGTTTTTAATCTCCTCCTTATCATTTCACCCGAAACTAGCTCAGCTAAAAACGTGTGTACGCCTGGTTGGAAGAATGTGTGAGTTGCGCACATTCTTCCTTTATAGGTACCGGTTATTGTGGTATAAGCATATTTCTTTTGCAAACACATCATTTATGCATCTGGCCCCGGGTAATGTGGATCTCCTCTCCTGCAGCCAAACTCTGCTGGTCAGACACTCAGGGGAACAAACAGGATAAAATATTTTAAAGAAGAGAAACAAATGTCCTTCAGTTACTTGAAATATTAAACTCACTCATTGCATTATGTTTTATCTTCATTTTCAGACACACTGAAGTCTCTGTTATTTGATTTCTATTGATGTAATGGGTCTAATTACTGGATGCATATCAACTTCTGATTCATAAAGCACATGTGATGAGTTCTTCTGAGCAGGTCCACAAATGGTTCTCACACATTTTAATAGACTGAATATCATTAGTTTCTTAAGCCAGAGAATAATTGAAACACCAGCTATTTTATTTAAACAGTAACCATTCATATATTCATTTTGTACCCTCTCAAAATACAAAGAAATAAATTATCTCGTTTGAATGTTTTGTTGTGTATACGTCTTGTTTTTAATGTCGCCAACTGTGAAGTGTCAGATGCAACAAATCAACATTTTTTTTAACGTTTTTATTGTGCTGGGTTAAAACAACAAATTTATCTCAAAAATAATCACTTTACATTTTAAAATATTAGTGTCTACAAAATCAGTAGTATTTTGCATTACACATCTGTTACTCAGATTTCATTTAGCGTTTCCTCGACTATTGTTACAGCTATGTAGGAGGACACTGGCGAATGGTGATGGTTACTAGATTACACATATCATATCAAATGATATTAACTGATCAGAAATGACGATGGAGTTTGGTTTGACATGATGCAAAGTTAGCAATTAGTCACAGTTTCATCTCTCAACATTTCAAACCTGAGGAAAATCCTTGTGATCGATCTTGTTCACAGGCTTGTCCCCATGGCGAGGATGCCTTCAGGTAGTCCAGCGATTTGTATGGGTTTGAAGGAGCCCAGTTTAGTGTAGAAGTCGAGCATCCTGCGATCACTCTGCCTCAACTCACAGAACGCTCCTCTGGAACCTTGAAAGTCGGGGAAAAGGAAACAAAGAAGATGTTTGAAATTTCGAGGATTGTGCTTCAAAATGGAATTCATTGATACTGGTACAAAGTCGTGCAGATTCATAGATGCAAAGCTCACAAAACCAGCTGATACTCTCATGGCACAGCTGTGGTGCATGAGGATTCAGAACTGATGAAGCATATAAGAATATAAGAATTTAAAACTATGAGTTTTAAATGACCCCAATATGCCTACATGTGCATGAATAAACAGACGCTGCTAGCAGGAGTTGGCAGGTGTGGAGCTGCTGTGACTGACTGAGCAGCGCCTCCTTGTGGAGAATATGCAGCCTGTTAAACCTGAGTTTATGAATTGATTACGGGCCAGTTTCATGAGGCTCATCTAAGAATTATCAGAGGCCTTGACATACCACTGCTCCTGATGGAGGACAACAGCTGACCAATCATACGCTTGGCTGGAGAGGGATCAGTGACCCGGGGCAGCACTTGTATGGTAACCAGGGAGGGGAAGTCCTTCAACACTGAGTCACTTACTGCCCTCTGGAGGTTTGAGATAAAACAAAACAAGTAACGCTCTGTATCTTCATCTGGTATTTTGGAAACTACTCAGATGCTGATTACCTGAATCTTGGCTGCAGCTGGTTTGGCATCAGTGAGCGCCAGGGTGTAACCACACACCCCAATCTCATCCTCCAGAACAAGACCACACTGAGGGGAAGGGGAGATCTCACCTGTTGACAGGCTGCAGTGGGGACAGAGGGAATGTTAGGACTTGAGTATAAAAGCATGAATACTCCAGAGTGAAATCTGACTCTCACCTGTCGCAGATCATCAAGGGGACTCTGCCGTCTCCTGCGCTCTTCATCTCCGTGAAAATCCTTTCCACCTACATCTAGTGCAGAAAACAAAACTGTAACATCACTACTGAATTTTAGTCAAAAAATTATCACAATGTCTAAAGAGCTGAAATCCTAACCTTATCCTCAGGGCAGTACGACCGTATGCAGTAGACTGCCGTCATGGGAGGATGTCTGTACAGGTCCCTGTTTCCATGACATGGCAGCATTCTCTACAAGTACAGAGGATAATCATATTCAACATATTGATGGATGCTTGACACGTAGTGATTAATGGGAGAAATGGTAGCTTTAATGTGGCCTAAATGACCAAATATGTCACAGTCTTTAGATGACGTTACCTGGAACTCTCCAGAGAGGCCTCCTCTGAAGCCCCAGGGTTCAGGATCATCATTCATCGGCTGGGCTGAGGGTCGACCCTGCCCTCCTGAGGAAAGCAAACACATTATAACATGATGCTTACGTGGTTAAAGAGATAGTATGAATCTTGTGAAGTGAGGTTGTGTGAGATATTTATCCATGGGCACTGCATTACCTACAGTAGCTGTCAATCAATACACCCCCGCTTTGGAGAAGCAGGCAGGAGTACTGCCATGGAAGCTAAACGATGTACTGCTGTGGATAGGTGCACAAACAATACTTGTTTTATAAACCTAAAAGAGTCCCACCTAAAAAATAATATTAACAGGTATATTGTAATATTTTAACTGCTTTACCTTGCCGTAAAATAGTGCGTTTTTGGCGGGGAACTGAAGCCATTACATCACTCTCTTCAAAGCCAGACTCCACTGACAAAAACAGTAAAAAACAGTACAGTTTAGCTTGCTGAATACAGGAGTTGCTGATCCATGGCTGCCTCGATCAGTTAGATTGTTTGTTATTGTGTGACTTTAGTGAGTCCAAACTGAACCTTTAAAACCCCAAAGTCACAAAGTTACACAAACAAACTAACTGATCACGGCAGCTGTAGACCAGCAACTCCTGTGTTTAGCGATGTTAAATTAGTGTTTATCTCAATGGAGTCTGGCTTTAAAGAGAGTGATGTTATGGCTTAAGTTCCCTGTTGGAAATCGCTGTCTAACAGTAAGGTAAAGCAGTGAAAATATTCTAAATATAGCGTACACTTAAACTGATATTGATATTTTTTAGTTGGGCCTTTTTTTAGGTGGCTAAATAAGGTTTGCCGCTGCCCCCTTCCACAGCAGTACATTGCTTAGCTTCCATGGCAGTACTCCTGCCTGCTTCTCCAAACTGAGGGTGTGTCGATAGACATCTACTGTAGGTAATACACTGACTAAAAATAAGTACGGATTAAAATTTGTTATAAATGTGGGTAAAGATGAGCAACATAATGAAACACAACTAACCTTTTACAAACAAGCCTGTGTGGTTTGATGAACATTAGAAGATTTGGATTGTCTTACCGAGTGTTTTAATGTAGGCTCGAGCCAAGCCAACCCCACTCTTGATGTCACAGATGTAGTTGTAGAGGTCGTACAGAATGCTGCGGTTGGGGGCATTGGACAGACGATTGAACATCTGCACCACTGCTTCGCACATGTCATCAAAACGCTGCGCTCTCGAACGCCACTCAACACTCTGGGAAAACTGTGTTTAAGCATATATTTAGATGGTGAAGAACATTGTTCACAACATCATCTGCTGTGGAGAAAAAAGTCTCAAACATGCAACACTACCTTGTCTGTTTCTGCAGCGGCATCCCAACTGTGGGTCTTGAGCCAGTCCAGCTCCTGCAGCATGGTCCTGGCTGTTGCCCCGTGTTCGTACGGCAGGTAGAAGAGGTCCGACAGCAGCTTCAGGTCATCCAGGGTCAGAGGCTCTGCTGTGTACAGCGGGTTCTCCCCAGGTCCAGGAATGTAGGAGCTCTCTCCCATGTCTGTCTGCATGGGCTCCTCATCTGACGACTCCTTCTTGAGACGAGCTGCAGGACGACCTGGAGAGACATGGACAGTGATGGCACATGTTGTCTTAATGTGATATCCACACCATCGCTACCTTCCACTCCTGCCACTGTTTGTGGTTTAATGAAAAGTATTTTTTCATACCTCCAGGTTGATCAGTGCTCAGAAACTCCTGCAGCCAGTCAGTGAGGGCCAGGGTCAGGGCTTTCTGGGGGCTGTAGAAGGGGTCCTGCTCCTCATCCCCTGCTGATAACGGTCAGAGACATTGAGACATTGCACAAAATCCATACTTAAGAAAGAGACACAAAACAACCACAAAGAGACAGAAAACTACAAACAAATACACCAAATTACCTAAAAGAGACACAAAATCATTAGAAAGAGACACAAAACAACCACAAAGAGACACAAAACTACAAAAAGTACACATAATTACCTCAAAGAAACATGGTATGACTACAAAGAGACACAAAACAACCACAAAGAGACACAAAGCTACAACAAAATACACAAAATTACCTCAAGGAGACACAAGATGAAAAGAAAGAGACACAAAACAACCACAAAGAGACCCCAAACTACAAAAAATACACATAATTACCTCAAAGAGACACGGCATGACTGCAAAGAGATGTAAAACAATGGTGTCTTGCTCCTGTGTAGGAGAGGTGGTAGGGCCTTCTGCATGTTTGTGCCCAGGGTCCCATTATTTCATAATCTGCCCATGGCTGTGTCAACCATTTTCTAAAGATTTCAAGCAGCCACTGGTCTCTGTTCACGCTAGTACTGTTTAAAAAATAAACTTTATAATTCAAAACCTGCAAACGCTTTGTATTATGTAATATTTCAGCCACATAATCCTGTCTTTATGCATGTACGTGATTAGGGGAAGAGCTTATTTATCTTGTGTTTTGGAAAAAAATGGCAGTAGGACAGACACCATCTCCTTTCCCACATTCACTAGAGTTGTACTGCTGTATTGTTAAAGTCACATTTGAGCCGGGCTGCTCTGCGTCCACACCAAAGCTGCTGTAAGCAATAAAAAAGGCAGCATAGAAAGTTTTATTTCATTTCAAGAAAAGCTAGACACTCACCCATCTCTACATCCCTCTGTCCTCCATCAGGGGTTGCTTTGCACCATGTAGCCAAGGTGTGGATGGCCACAAAGTTTGGGTAGAACTCACAGTTGGGATTGGTGAGCACTCCTCTCAGTTTGGGAATCAGCTCAGTGGAACGATCCTAACAGGACAAGATCATGTTAATATAATTATTTCTGGACACAGATCACATTGGAGCTGATACACACATCTCAAATTATAAATATAAATAGAGATTACAGTCAGAAGCTGACCTTGTATGGTCCGAGGAAGAGCCTTTGTGGGTCATAATCGTTTGCGTGGATGTTGTCCCATATAACTGGTGGCCTCTTCAGGAAGGAGGACACCTCTTCTATGGACTCAACAGAGATTTTGTGGGACACCACTTTGGGGCCTAAACAACACAAAAAGGAGAGTGAGTGCAAAAATATGCATCATAAAACTGTACCTTTGGCTACTTCTGTGAAGGCTCTAGGTCAGTGCGGCCTTACCAGTCCACAGTATGTCTATCCCCGGCAGCAGCTTCTCTCCCACAGTGTGCAGGTAAGAGGACTGGGACACAGTGGGAGTGCAGAATGCAGCACAGTAATCTGGAGTGACAGGGACAAAACACGTGCCAATGATAACAGTAACAACAGAGGTATCACACAGTGCTTACATGCTTAAAACTCCCCTGTATTCAACAGGACTAAATAATATTTGAGACATTTTACAAAACAAACCGCATTGTGCTCGTTCATTTAGCCACAGTGTTGGGCAACCCCACTGCCTGACCTGTAGGACAGAAGAGGAAGTACTCAGGGTCTCCCAGGTGCTGGTACACCGCGTTAGTGATGGCCACCTGAGCGTGGGCGAAGGAGCTGAAGGCCTGCTTATCAGCTGGACACATCTCAGTCTCAATGTCATCAAACAGTAAAGAGAAGGACCTGCAGCCAAACTGCTTCACCTGAGGGAGAGACAGGACAGCTTTGGGTTTGGAGATCTTTAAGGGACAGTTCATCCCAAAAGCAAAAATACACATCTTTCCTGTTACCTGTAGCACTATTTCTCAATCTAGATTGTTTCACAACAGGTGAACTGTCAAAGCAAATTTTCACTTAGGCTTATAAAGTTATTCTACCAGTAATTAAACCTACTTCCTGCAGCAGTATCAGTACCATCAGTTGCCCCTGACCTTGCAGTGTATCAAATGCTTCTAATTTATTGCTTCATGTTTCATATAAATTAATGTGGTGTCCATATCAAACCCTCAGAGAGCCATGGAGCTAGATACAGCTGAGATTAAATTATCTCTCGTGCACCACCCTTCATCTCTGCACACAAAGTCCTGACCTGATCCAGTTTCCTCTTCAGGGCGGCAGCCTCTTTGGGGTTGGAGAAGGTAATGTCCAGGCCGGGAGAGATCGCGTAGATGAACTCTACGTTGTGCTGTTTAGCTGCTGATATCAGGGCGATGAGTTGTTCTAGGGAAATGATAAGAAATTAAATATACTGTTCTCTTAGTTAAGGGAATATTTTAAATGAATGCTGTTTTTAAGGGGAAGTAAATGATGCACTGGTTCCCAGTTTGGAGTATTAGGTTTGAGCAATGCCAACCAATCTATAAGTCTCAACCGATAAGGACATTTGTGGGCTACCCAAGAGTAGATTCTCAGGTCTGTGATCATCAAAAACACCACAATAAATTTAAATCAGCTGTTCTGTTCACCCCACATCCAACATTATTACGCCTTGAATATTTGCAAGGGGAAAGTGACGGCCCAAAGTCCACTGAGAGTGTATGTTTTGATACACGCTTGGAGTCATTAGGACATGATAAATCACCAATGCCCTTCAGTAACATTATTGATAAGATGCACCTAATTAACAAAGGAGAGGCTCCAAACTGAGCAATTACACAATGGCTCTGAGGAGATAATGATGACTCAGAGTGGGACTTTGGTATGACACTGACATAAAATGAGAAAAGTTGATAACTACAGTTTAGAAATGACCACATCCTTTGAATTTGTGGGTGTGTTATATTGTTTTTGGTTCAGTTTGCATTTGTGTTGTCACAATCCTGGAATTAAATTGAATTGTAAAAATCAATAGCATTTTCAGTACCATGGGGAAAAAACTGACAGTGAGGGCATATAATTTTACATTTTTATAAAAAGATACATATAAATAAGCTATAGCATGACAACGTTTGTTAGGCATTCACAATAAAAAGAGGCAAGAAAGCACAGCAATATGTTTCGAAAAATTTATATTTTTGACAACACTAGTTTGTGAATTAGGATCATGATGCCAACATGCACTCCATGATGTGAATACAGGTCCAGTTAAGGATATTTTTAGTTTCAGAAACTGTTTTAATCTTTCCGGAACATTAGCGTCCATTAGTGTTTTATGTATGCCTTATGTATGCCGCCAATAAAGTATGAAGGATATTTTTGAAATTCAGAGGTGGGAATGAAATTTAATCTAAACTTACTGAATCCATTGTACACAATTAGGAAGTTGTTGCACCAAAACTAAGCTATTTAATTTTGCATCTGTCTCGATACAAATGTGTGCAGACAAGATACTTCATTGGATATGAATGCATGAGGGAGATGAAAGCTATCCCTGATGAGATGGGTGAAAATATTGATACCTGAGTAGTATTGTCAGATCTGTCACATCATCTAATTTAAATTAAAAAAAGAAAAAGGAAAGAGATTCACTATTCTGCTCGGAGTCTATCTTACAGTTTTATTCATTTCTAGTTACCAGGTGATCTCAGGCCATCCTCCATGTCCAAGAGTCAGGTGAAATTTGGGGTTTTATTCAGTGAACACGGGGAGCATGTGAAGACGTGAAACTCACCTGCCTCCTCAGCAGTGTACAGGTCCCTCCAGTACATCCTGTGTTTGTAGTCATCCTTGGGGGCGTACAGGTACGTGTTCAAACCCCACTTCTGCTCCCTGTGGAACCCAACACCAGCAGTCAACAATTACATCAAGTATTAAGTTAGTTTGGAAATGATGAGAAATGATTGAATACAATGGATCATTCTGTGTGTTAGAAGGGAGACAACAAATCCATGTGTGTTAAATATTAATGGTCCGGTGTTGGCAGTCTTTCAAGTGTCCTCAACTAAAGGTGGATATCTAATAAACAGCAGCACAAGGCAACACTCAATATGAAGCAAATACCATTTTTAGGACAGGCTCTGCTTTCATGTGACTGATTTTTTTTTAAGTGTATTCATTCTCCTGTTTCATTCACTCACAGCAGGAGCCACATACCTTTTGAACAGCTCTGTTCTCTGCTCCATAGTCCATGGTCGCCCATAAAAACCTGCATCAAGCAAAGGTCAAGTTATGCACCAAATGTCTCCTTACCAGAAGCGATCAATACATGACTGATATCAGAATAAATCTAACTTCATCCTGCTAGCTTGCAGCCTAACTTGGATGTTTGCATCTTGTTTGAGGTGCTGTACTCCAACTTGCCCAACACTGGGGTGTGGTGGACCAGTTTGGGCCCCTGCTCCCAGTCTGCTCACCTTCCACGACTCCACTGATGAATCGCTTGGTCCCAGTGTGGGGTCGCCCCCCGGTACTGCCCGGCTTTGACATGGTTTAGTGTTTAGTTTAGTGTTGAGTTGTCGTGTGTCTCTCGGTCTCTTCCTCCTGTTTACTAATGCTCACTCACAAGCTCCCCTGACAGCGCTGTCATAGCTTTGTATGCCAGTCTTTAATTTGATTGACTTTTATTGAACCGTCCTCTCACGCCTGCGCAGACCGGTCGGAGTTACGCACCGTAAGCATCGCGCAGCATGATGCTAACATGGTCTAAAGTCTGAGGTTGTAATAAAAACTGAGGGCGAATAAAAACCAGCTCTTATTTTGTGATGACTGAAGTTCAGCTCAGACAGGCAGGCAGGCGCGTGCTCACTGTTGACTGAACGTCAACGTGTCTGACCAACGGCTCAACGTCTTAAAGGGACAGTGTGTACCCGTGTCTTAAAGGGACAGTAGTACCCACCTGAAAACACGGAAGGAGCACTCAAATAACAAACACTTTGGATTTCTTTCATCATAGTTCTGCAGAGAGGTGGGAACAACTCATGATTTTGCAAGTGCCAAGTAAATCTCAAGTCTTTGCATTCACACGTGCTAAACTATCGGGCTGCACCATTGTTAATGGCATTACATCTGAACTGAACTGAATCTGTGCCATGCAAAATTTTCTAGTGCAATGGTGCCTAACATTTCCAAATGAATGAATGTGAAATCTGTGTATTATCAGCTTAAATATCCCCTCCAAGTGTTTATAGACATGCTTATAAAATACTGCATGGAATTATCTTTTATATGTGTGTGTGTGTGTTTTTTCCACGAGAATTGCCTGGTAAGAAAAATATTACAAAATATTACATACTTATATTTTGCTTTGTATATTTTTGCACTGATGCTCCGTGTTTGCACTATCCCTCTGCTGCTGTAATGTTGAAAATTTCCCTGCTTTGGGACAAATAAAGAATTATCTTAATTCACAACTGCTCCTCGGCACTCCTTCTCCGTCAATGGGATATTTCCAAAATCTATGGACAGGCAAATGTTCATTTCTAATAGATACAAGGTGTCTCCTGTTTAACTGGAAGGTCCATCCTTAGTGTGTATGCAGCTTCAAGTATAAACTTGGATATTGGACCATTATTAGCTCCAAACTAAATTAGTTGTGTAGTCACAAAACCATGCTTGCACATACATGTCTTTAACTGAGAATAAAGGTATGCACAAAGAAACTTTCCTCCTTCAGCAGACGTCACAAACGTTTAAAAAAATTCTGCACATAGATCATCCTGAACAGTGAAGCTCAAACATCTGAGTGAGTAATAATAATCCAAACACATTTTTGAGTGGACGGGGACCTTAAACGACCACTGTACTTAATTGTAAGGCAGCATATTGGCTTATCTTGAACCTCTCACCTCTCAAAGGTCACTGTTGTCACTGTTATTGTTAAAATCATACTAACATGATCAAGTGGCTCCCAGTCAGAAGCCCCAGTGGATAAATACTTTGTACATCTGAAAATGGAGCCAAGAAAGTGAGTAAGCACAATGATGACTCAGCAACACTGAAAAAAGTAATGATGTTTGTAAATTGAGCTCAGGGAATGTGGGAGGTTGGGTGTGGATGTAAAGACATTTTAACATGTCATTACAGGAAAAGCACAGGTGCAGCCGACAACGCTGCAGGTTTGGCAAAGACACACATGAAATGGGGGGTTTGAGCATCAAACACACGATTTCCTTCATTCTGGTTTATCTTTATGCACCTTTTATGGCTTTTCTGCATCAATTTATGTTGTAGTTTTGTCAAGTTGAAAGTGCTCTACTATTTTCATGTTTTTATTGGGGGTGGGGGGCAGATATTGAGGTGGACATGTCCCCTGCGTCCTCCCTGAAATCTTCCTCTATAATAGCATCATTAATGATGGCTCTAGAAAGCCATGACAATGAGACAGTGGGGACCTAACAAGGGTCTGGAAGTGGAGCTTAATTAGAGTACATGTTTAATTAATATAACTGGTTACACCCGTGTTCGATCATTTATGATGTCTGCCATGAGAAAGGTCTATTTAAGGAGCAGAGGAATTAAAGCATGACCTAACAAAGTTATCTGCGGCAGAAAACGTTAGACGTTAGATACACCCAAGTTCAATCCACATTTGATGTCACTGCTTTGATTTGTGACGGAGCTGTCTTCAAGCTTCCAAACGCACTTGATGTGAGTGTTAACGACGCTGCTGACTCCACAAGGGACGATAAAGAGGCTGCTGAGGATCTAAGGACGGCGGATAAAAACAAGCTACAAAGACTTTGAGCTTATGTGTAAACAGTTTAGATTTTTAAGAAGAGTATGATACTGAAGTTAAGATGAGGGGCCTGCAGAACAAATTGAAGGGATGTTTTGAGATTGCAAGCCAGCAAAACCACAGGAATAAGAAACTGAAACACAAGGACACCAGCAAGATACAGAGGTTAAAGGAGAGACAGGATTCAGGGTCAGTAATGACCAGAGATATCAGGTGAGCTGTAGACTGCCTGGTGCTGTGGCAGTCCACAGGGTACTGTGCGTGTTGGCTCACTGGTATGGGTTACATGTATAGTTCTTTGGATTCAAAATAAACCAAATAAGTTCTTTAGGAATCACAAATAAGTGCCTTTATTTTGTTATATACAAATATACAAAATCATTTTTGTGGAATGAAACAAACATTGTCAAGTGGTTTCCACTGAACGTCTTATTAAATTGAACAGTGCTACATATCTGTACGTATTAACTGTACGCATCAGAAACTGCATGCATATTAGAGTCAAAACATGTAAAAACTACTAACATACAAAAGTTTGCTACATAAAGTCGGAGCATAACGCTCTGAGGTTCATGAAAATATGTTCTTTTCATCTTGGCCACATCCAGCTTGGTGCTCTTGTCCTCCCACACAGCTCTGCTACCTCTTTAATCCTCTCTGGGCCTGTTTCAGCAGCGAATCAAAGTCAAGGTCCTCAAACTTGCTCTTGGCAAGAGACGGCTCTGCATCTCTGTTTGCGTCTGAGGGAGAGAAAGACATTTATATGCTCAGTTTGTTCAATGACTTCCACATTCAAAAATACATCTTCTTTTGGTGCTTTTCTGGAAATCTGTTTCAAATTTGTGTAACATCTGGATGGACATTAGGATAATGACTGAATCAATTAATTCAAATTCTACCAGGAATATTATATTGTGGTTTCTATGGTGCAGCTTGCAAAAACAACAGTGACTAACTTAAGTTTTACAACATACATAGTTAAACAAAGGAAATTGTTTGCCGTCACTGCAGCGCTGTACTTGACTTTGTTTTTGGTTTTGAGTCTCACCTAGGTCAGCGTAGTCTGAGTTACAGAACTGTCTTCTTCCACCAAAGCAGATGTCAAACGGCAGCTCGTCAGGCTTCCGTAGTTTGCTCCCGTTATCGATGGCTGCAAAAGCATCATCCATGTTGTAGAACGTGACAAAGCCATAGTGGTCACTATGGGAACCAAAGGTGCAGGGTTTTAAAATGATGAATGCACATTAATGGTGCAAAAACAGTGTACAGTAAAAAAACATAATAAAAAGCATACATTTTAATTGTGCACACTCACCCTCTGTCTCTGAAGTGAAGCGACACACATTCCACTTCTCCAAACTGAGAGAAGCGCTCCCTCAGTTCGTTGTGTGTCATAGACTTGCGGATGCGGCCGACGTACACCACCCTGCGCTCATCCTGTATGAGAGGATTTTATAATTACTCACCACTCATTACTCAACCAACCAAAAAAAAAAAGATACCACAAACACATCAGTCATCTTTTACTCACTATGGCTTTAAGCTTCTGTATCCTGATCTCGTGCTCTCTCCTGAGCTTCCTGGACTCTCTGCCGCTGTCAGGATGAAGCATTCGGATGAGAGAAAGACAGAGACTTAGATCACACTAATAAAAAATGTGCATGGAAAAATGACACTTAAATTCAATGTCTACATGGAAAACTCAAACATTAACTGACCTGTAAACGTCTCCCCACTGGCTACGGTAAACACGCGGAGATGGTGATCGGGATCTGGATGGTGACCTAGACCGGGACCAGGATCTGGATCTTGACCTGCTACACCTCGATCGAGTGTAGGACCACCTGTAGCGCCGACGTGGGGAGCGGGAAATGGATGGAGAGCGGGATGACGATGAACATGAGCTGCTCTCTGAACGCCTGTAGCGGTGTCTACAAGAGGGACAAACTGAGAATTAGCTGCGATGCACAAAGAGGACAGATAAAGGCTGAAGCTGAACATAACACAAGATGATTACTTTAGTCTTTTTGGAGAGGGAGAGGCAGAGCTGGAGGACGATGAGTACGACGAGGAAGAAGAGCTGGAGCTGGAGTCAGAACGAGGGGATCCTCTCCGATACCTTCTCCTCTCCCTCCCTCTGGCAGGACTGGGTGGAGGTGTGGGGAGAGTGCACGGGGCTGTCTTTTCTTCTGCTGCACGACTGCAGTTTTGCTCTGTGGCAGCGCTGTCTGAGGGCGACAGAACTTTGTCTGCGGACATGCTGCATGGTTGCTCTGAGAGACGCTGCACTGCAGACTTTGCAGAGGTATCAGCAGCCCTGATGGTGGTGCTAACCTCACAGGTGGAGGTCTGTTTTTTGCATTCAGCTGCAGAGTCATCGTTAGTCACCTGCAGTTCAGAGGTTTTAGCAACATCCCTTCGTTGAGCGGCACCTGATAGTGAACGGTCTATGGTGCCACAATAATCGTGATCTAAGGACACCGCTGAATACAGGTGAGGAGAGGTGAGAGCAGCAGGGAGTTCTGACAGGTGACTGTGTGTCTTCTTGGACGGTAAAGGACGGGGGTCAATTATCTGAATGGCCTTGGATGGAGGATTTTTACGTCTTGCTGGCAGATCTTTTTGAGTGCTGAGGATGATTTCAGTGCCGAAGGGCTCTGGGATGTCTGCACCCTCTGACATTTGAAGATTCATGACGGTTTTTGGATTCCCAGGTGATTCTGAAGTGCTTAGAGGTTCGAGTGTTTCCACAGAGGCTCTTTGTGTTCCTATAGTCTGAGTTCTGTCCATGTGTCCTTCTGTTTGTAGGTCCGGCTCGTTCTCACACACCCTTTCCTCTTTAGCTGGAGGAGGAAGAATAAAAAAAGAGGTTACAGGAGACCGCACATCAGTGTTCCATATTACAGTGTTCTAAGAAATCTTGTTTCTCACCTTGTGTTTCCTCGAACTGTTCCAGCAGGCTGGTCAGATCAGGTGCTTCAATTCCTGGAGTAGAAAAACAGACAGATATGAAGCTTAAGGCGATGCAGTTCATTTCTCTTAACTCAATTTATCAAAAATCACAGGCAGCCCTGACTCACCAGCTTACCTGAGTCATCTGTTGTCACTGTATCTGGACCTGGGGACATGGGAGTCTTTGGTTCCAGCTCGGCCTCTTTTGTTGGGGTGCATCTTTGGGGGTGTATTTCCTTGCACTCCAAAGAGGATTCGATTTGTGTTGTGGTCGTGCACGGTGCTGGAGATTTGTGGGAGACACCTGAGGCTATCTCTGTAAGCTTGTTTTTAATGTCCTGAAGCAGAGTGGTGAAGCCCTGGTTTTCTAACAGCGCCTCAGGCTTTGGCCCTGAGGAGGAGGTTTGTCTTTGATGGCCTGAGGATTCATTTTGGATTTCTGGAAAGTGTGTGGTGCTGTCAGGGCTGGAGTCTCTGTTAGGAAACTCCACTATGGGCTCTGGTGAGGAGTGCTCTGTGGTCGGTGATGTTGTTTGTCTAAGTGGCAGGGGGAGGAGGACAGGATTTGGGGGATCACTACTGAGCAGCGCTGGCTTCTTTACTGGACTTTTTTTGCTTTCAGGCACGGTGATATTTGGATCAGCTGTGATGTCTAGCTGCAGACGAGCAGGTGAGATGATTTCAGATTCAGTCCTTGGGCGCTTTAATGCACTGCGCTGTGGATTAGTGGATGGTTTGGCCTCTGAGGGGTGAGGTTTATGCGGAGAAGAGATGCGATGGGTCCTGTGACCATGACTCTGAAATCTATGGAGCTTATCAGCGCCACTTCTTCCACCATCTGGATAATGGTGTGCTGCCTTTGGTCCACAGCTGTTTTGCCTTTGTCCCTGTAAACAGAAGATGGGAGTCAGCTCCTTCGGGGGCTCAGAAACAGAGGGCCACTTAGTGGTGTAGTTCCCCTGTTTCTCCACCAGGGGCCGCCTCTTTTGGCGCAGCTGCCTGTACTGCTGGAGGCTGAGTGATTTGGCCTTCGTCTGACCTTTGAGTGGCAGAACCTCTGCCTTGTCACTGTTCATTTCAGAGAAAGTTGTTCTGGGTTCAAGTGTTTTTGTGCTGTTCAGTGGATCCGACACAGTTTCACTTGCGTGCCCACTTGTTAGATTTTTCTCGTTCAATCCCTCCTCGGCTGAATCATCAAATGAAGCCACTTGAACGGGGCCAAAGCTCACCCTTTTCTTCTCTTTGGATGGTGCTGTTCTGGATGAGCTTCCATTCAGCAGCACGCTTTTTAAGAGGTAGTCATTATCTCTCTTTTCATCTTCCTCCTTTGTGTCTTTCACAGTTACCTCATCATCAGACACGACATTTATCTCCTCATCGCTCTCTTCACTAGGTCTCTCATACTTCCACACCTCTTCCTGAGAGAATATTGTGTGATTCTTCCTTTGCTTATCGCCCTCCTCCTCCTCCTCCACATGCAGCTTCAGGCAGTAGGGGTGCATGAGCTTCACCAGGTTGACGAGAGAAGCCGAGTTGAAGACCTCGACTTCGGCCTCTCCATTCTTGTTTTTGGAGTGAAACAATGTTTGACTTTGTTGTTTGAACAGCTGTGGTGGGCTGTTTCTCTCCATATTGCTCTCATCTTTCTTTTCTCCATCAATCTTTATCGTGACTGTTATATTTGGTGGTTTGGATCTTGGTCTAAGTCTGTCAGCAAGAGTTAGTTCCTAAAGAGAAGAGAGAAAGAAAGAAAATAAACATTTAGATGTTGGGACTCTTATCAGCAGAAAGGGTCAATAATGGGAGATTACATGTCTTATACAAGCCACTAGGTGCAGTTACATGGACAATAGTCCTTCAGCCTGATTAACATCATTCTGATTGGAGATTTCAAATGAACTGTTTACATAAACACTAAATACACTGCCTGGCCAAAAAAAAAGTCACCACCAAAAAAAAAGGTCATACACTCTAATATTTCGTTGGACCGCCTTTAGCTTTGATTACGGCACGCATTTGCTGTGGCATTGTTTCGATAAGCTTCTGCAATGTCACAAGATTTATTTCCATCCAGTATTGCATTAATTTTTCACCAAGATCTTGCATTGATGATGGTAGAGTCTGACTGCTGCGCAAAGCCTTCTCCAGCACATCCCAAAGATTCTCAATGGGGTTAAGGTCTGGACTCTGTGGTGGCCAATCCATGTGTGAAAATGATGTCTCATGCTCCCTGAACCAGTCTTTCACAATTTGAGCCCGATGAATCCTGGCATTGTCATCTTGGAATATGCCCGTGCCATCAGGGAAGAAAAAATCCATTGATGGAATAACCTGGTCATTCAGTATATTCAGGTAGTCAGCTGACCTCATTCTTTGAGCACATACTGTTGCTGAACCTAGACCTGACCAACTGCAGCAACCCCAGATCATAACACTGCCCCCACAGGCTTGTACAGTAGGCACTAGGCATAATGGGTGCATCACTTCATCTGCCTCTCTTCTTACCCTGATGCGCCCATCACTCTGGAACAGGGTAAATCTGGACTCATCAGACCACATGACCTTCTTCCATTGCTCCAGAGTCCAATCTTTATGCTCCCTAGCAAATTGAAGCCTTTTTTTCCAGTTAGCCTCACTGATTAGTGGTTTTCTTAAGGCTACACAGCTGTTCAGTCCCAATCCCTTGAGTTCCCTTCGCATTGTGTGTGTGGAAATGCTCTTACTTTCACTATTAAACATAGCCCTGAGTTCTACTGTTGTTTTTCTTCGATTTGATTTCACCAAACGTTTAAGTGATCGCCGATCACGATCATTGAGGATTTTTTTCCGGCCACATTTCTTCCTCGAAGACGATGGGTCCCCACTATCCTTCCAGTTTTTAATAATGCGTTGGACAGTTCTTAACCCAATTTTAGTAGTTTCTGCAATCTCCTTAGATGTTTTCTCTGTTTGATGCATGCCAATGATTTGACCCTTCTCAAACAGACTAACATCTTTTCCATGACCACGGGATGTGTCTTTCGACATGGTTGTTTAGGAAATGAGAAGCAACTCATTGCACCAATTGGGGTTAAATAACTTGTTGCCAGCTGAAAGATAATCGCCCATGCAGTAATTATCCAATAGGAGGCTCGTACCTATTTGCTTAGTTAAATCCAGGTGGCGACTTTTTTTTTGGCCAGGCAGTGTATGTGATCCAATAAGATGTGTGCATACATGCCCCACAGCATTTAATCAGAATATAACTTTTAAAAACGGAGAAAAGTGGTTTTGCTCACTGAGAAGCGTCTACTCTGCCAGAAATATAACAGAGGAATTTTCTCACCCATTTTCATGGAGAAAAACAATATATTTAATAATGAAGTATAAAGAGAGACTAAGTGGTTCCTCCTGTTAATAAAATTTAGTATTAAGTAAGGTAAGTGTAACCCAGGTAATTTTCTGCAGCTACAAATTACAGATGTTCCCTAAACATCTCACATGCAGACTATCAGTAGATGCTACAATTTACCAAAGCTCCCCAAACGTCTCCTGAGCAGGCTGCTGCTACTGGTAACATTAGACATGTGTTATATCCAGCAGTATTTTAGCCTGTAGCAACAACGTTATATAAGGCTACTGTTTCAAGATCTAATAATTTTTAGTCAGAGCACTCTCCTCAAAAACCTATCTCTAGCAGAGCTCTATATATTGTTTTGTATTGCTGAATTTGTCAAAATCAGCAGAGGGAGGCTTGTAGAAACAGCTGTTGCAGCACATGCACCAGCTACGTCAGCTAAGGTTACCTCCATGTGGGACAAACATGCACAGAGAGACTATATTTACTCCAACCACAGAGACACTATCGGGTTTAGTGTTTTTATACCTGTTCCTATTGAACAGATTATCAGAAGTCTACACCACCCTCTTAATCTGATTCAAAATTCCTTCTGATCTGGCCGGATCGGGCGGTTTCTTCTGATTGAGGTGGTTACATGAGGCATCTTTACTCTGATAGGGCTCTTATTCTGATTACAGAACACTTGACTATTGTGTTCATGCATGTGTAGTTCTGTTTATCCCACAGGACACTCCTCTTTATCTAAGCTATGATCTGAGACCAAATAAAGCAGCTTTCTATCAGGCAAATTCATGTGATCATCACGAGGTGGCCGATGAGTTGGGCTCATAGTTTATATGAGTTTCAACTGTGTAACCAGGAAAACCACTGATATGTAATGGTCTAGATCTGGGGTAATGAAGTTTGACCAAATTATTGTTTCCAAGTAAATTATTTTTAGGATGTTTTCCTGAGTGAACACCCACCAATGAGTTGTCCCTGCGCTCTGGGTGGGTGAGGAGCTTGGTGTCTGGCAGCGTGTCAAAGGGAGACAGAGTCACATCATCATCATCCTCCACACTGTCCAGCATCTCAGTGAGGGCTGACAGCAGCGTCTCACTCTCTTCCTCCGCTCCACTCTTATCCTGAAGAGAGATTTATTCATTTATTAGCAAATTTATTTTCCACCAACATGTTGAGAGTGTCATTCTTGTTCTTTTAAACTTCTATGATACTGTGTTCTGTGATGATGTGCTTTATCTGACCTCTGACGCAACAGCGGAGTCTTCAAATATGGCCAGGATTGAGTGATCCATGCAGGACTGTGCGTCCATCTCCACACCGTCTACATCACGTCTACTCAGGACCAACTGCAGAGACAAAGACACAAACATTATATCACACCCATGTGTGTCTGGTCTGTTCCTACCTCCGGCCATTTTTATAATAATACGCTCCCTCCTCTGGGTGTGACCAGAAGCTGAGGCACAGGACACAATAAGCTCCAAATTAACTTTCTCAGCATAAACAGGAAGAGCTGCCAATTTTGACAATGCTTCAAACACAGCAGTGGAAAAACAGGGAGGCAGAGCGCATGTTTAACTTAGGTTTCTAAAGAAGTGAGCTCAATAAATGAATTTTTAGGGCGAGATCTTGATGTTATTAGAATTACATTTAACAAATAAAAGATTAAATTATTGCACTGCAACTAATGACTACTCAAGACTAGGGCTGCAGTGGTAAAATGGTTTCACGCTATGCCATAACATAACAATTAATGGTTATCATACCGTGTACATTTGCTTATCTATGGTATTTTCTATGGGAAAAAAATGCAACCAGATGGAGGATGTCACCTTTTTTTCCCTTCAATTTTAAAAAAGGTCTCAACTTCTGATTATAGTAAAGTGTTTATTCAACCCAAAAGACACAAGCGATCAGGAGAAAATTGATACAGCATAGTGTCAAGATATTTTTGTGTGGCAATATCATATCATTACACAGTGCCAGGTATCAATTTTTTATTATATACAAATTATACTTTAGATAGCCTACTTGCGTAATATAATCAGTTCCCTTTTCAGTCCACTAGATACATCTTGCTGCTGCAAAAAATGGCTTAAAGTGAGGTGAACAGACTGAAAACTTTATCTTATTAGATAAAACAGATGTTTTTTTCTTTGGGGACATAATTTACAGTTAAAAAAACAGGTAATAAATCACAATATATTTTATCGCAGCATTCAGAATATTGCAACATATTTAAACATATTTAAAATCGCAATAATATTGATTTGTGACTTATGTATAGTGATAATATTGTAGTGTGGATCCTCTGGTATTTCCCAGACGAAAAGAGACCATCTGTTTTCATTCCTTTAAGGGCCATTTTAACTGATAATGACAAAAATTGTGTAATGTTGTGAGACCATATATGGCACACATACTTTCTAAGACAGTTGTTGTACTGTGAAAATTTTAAACCCTAATGACGACTTTCTTGATTAATCGATTATTCGAGTATTCACGTTACACTGTCTCGCAGGTTAACTCATATCGCAGCTTACGCCTGGATAGTGTGTCGTGGTTGTGCTGCTGCCATGGTCCTGCCTGATGCCTCCTGCTGCTGCTGTTATTATTAATCATACTTCTACTGTTATTATACATATATGATTATTATTGTCACATATGTTAATATATACTTACAACATATTGTACCACAATTACTGTAATTATCATTATAATAATATTATTACTAGAATTTATGCTGTACATTTATTATGTTGATCTGTTCTGTGCCTCATCTATTGCACATCTGTCTGTCCTGGAAGAGGGATCCCTCCTCAGTTGCTCTTCCTGAGGTTCCTACCGTTTTTATCCCTGTTATAGGATTTTTTTGGGGGAGTTTTTCCTTATGTGAGTGTCCTAAGGACAGAGGGATGTCGTATGCTGTAAAGCCCTCTGAGGCAAATTGTGATTTGTGATATTGGGCTTTATAAATAAAAATGAAATTCAATTGAATTGAAAAATGCAGATCATAACTATCACTGGAGACATTTAAAAAGCTGGAACCTGTGATTTTCAGGCATATTTGCTCAAAAGGGACCTAAACAACGAAATGATTACAGATACATTTTGTGTCCTTTATTTAATTCCTTGATCAGTGATCATTTCAGCTCTACAAAACTGAAAGCAGCTGGAGATATATCTGAACATACTGTCAGTAGTGTAGTGTGAAACTATACTGGTGGTATAACTCATGCATGCAGAAGGATGATGTCACTGAGCAATGGTTCACTCTAACAGTCATATCAGGACAGAGGTGTGCCAGTAAGTAGGAGGCACACTGAGGGGACAAGTGGCCCCAGAGGCAGGACACATCATAAGTATGAATGGGAGGTTGAAACAGCAGCTCTCAGGGCCTGTGCTACTGTAACAAGGCATTTATCTGCTCTCAGGTGACAGTAGAGTAGTGTATCACTGTTAGTAAATGGACACAACTTTAAATTTAGCTTTAAACAGCAAAGTAAATGCAAAGTATTGCTGAATAAAAAATAAGTACGGGGTACAGTGTATTGAGCAGGAGAGTGCTGAGGGTGCAGCCTTATCTGAACATCATGTACTTCAGAGAAAATGAACCGGTGTTCCTGTCAGATTTCACCCGTCAATCCTCCCCGGTGTGAACTGTCGTTAACGTGTTTGATACGGTAATGACATGAACTAACGTGGCATTAAACTGTCTCCGTCGCTACACGAGTCAAAAAGCAGATTAATCGACCAGCTGAGCCAACTCCCTGGTCACTATCTCAGTAGTACTACAAGCCACGTGTCGCTATGCGCGCATATGGCCTCGCGCACCGGTGAAACACCTATTATTCAAACAGCGAAACCCGCTCACGTGCAGCCACTCTGATGTCACCCAGATAAAATGAGTAAACCAGTACCTCGTGTGGGGTGCTGCTGGCCAGAAAGGGGCTGTTGCCGGCATTTAAATCCCCGTCTTTCCCCCTCCACCGCGCCGCCATCTTGCTGCTCCACATGGTCCACTGGCAGGCCGGAGAGAGACACGTGGTGCCCGCGTGGAGGCGCGAAAAGAGAACCGACCTGGGATCAGATTGACGCCATCTAGTCCATAACTGAGAGCCAGGAGCAGGGTAGAGAACAGACCCAAGGTCAGCTGTATGTTTCTGGTAGGTTCTTCATTGATTATCAATTAGTTTCCGCTTAAAAACGAACTACAGGTTTTATTTTGCTTTAAAGACTAAGAAAGTAATAGGTTAACTTTGCTTCTGTGTAAAGTAATTGTTAAATTGGGTGGATAATATCAGTAGTCTGATAAAGGGGACTACTGTTCACATCTGTTACAAATACCTCATGTAACTAACGTTTGAGCTGCTTTCACGTCACATTAATGGCGTCAATTTAGTCATAGCCTATAAATCAGAATTATTGCAAAGAGAACATTTAATACACTTTTTTTAAAACATTTTTTTTTAATTTATTTATTACTCAAAAGCGACATCTTGCGTCCAAGTGCCAATATGACAGATACCCGACAGGCGGCAGCAAAGACCCTAAATACCAGAGGTGGGACCAAGTCATTTTTTGCGAGTCACAAGTCTGAAGTATTTGCGCTTATATCTTGATTCAGAGACAAGTGAAGTCCCAAGTCCTAATCTTGCATTTGCAATGCGCTCTCCATCAAATGTAATTCTATTTTAATAACAATAATAATAATAATAATAATAATAATAATGACTTCATTAAGGACACAGAGAAAGGTCCATAGCATACCAAACACATACGATATAATAAATACAATATAAAAAACATATACATATGAAAAAAGACAGGAAACAGAGTAATAAATATGTACTAAACTCATCAGCACTGTTTAAAATTTGTTTATATTTGTTTAAACAAGTTGTTGGAAGTTGTTTCATCTCCATCTGTAGTTTTGGCCTACAACTAGTTTTTTGTTCACCACCATATAGTTTTTGTGCAGGAGCCTATCCCAGCTGACATTGGGCAAGAGGCAGGGTACACTGTGGACAGGTTGCCAGACTATCACAGGGCTGACACATAGAGCCAGACAACCATTCACACTCACATTCACACCTACAGGCAATTTAGAGTCACCAATTAACCTGCATGTCTTTGGACTGTGGGAGGAAGCTGGAGTACCCAGAGAAAACCCACACTGACACGGGGTGACTATCTATCTATCTATCTATCTGTCTATCTGTCTGTCTATCTGTCTATCTGTCTGTCTGTCTGTATATCTGTCTGTCTGTCTGGGGAATTAAATGTTGACTTGCTGGGAATGAATAACGTTAACATTAGTTGACTCAGGAAATAAAGAGAAATTAATTGATTCATGGCACACTTTTTTAAAAACATACTTTTTCATCTTTGAGCTTCGATGAAGATATCAAATATCAAGTGAAGTCACGAGTTATTGGTGTTACAGATTATGTCGAGTCTCAAGTCATTAAATGTGTGACTCAAGTCTAACCTGAGTCCAAGTTATATGACTCAAGTCATATAACCCTGTGTCTCCACCCTGTGATTTAAAACAGTCACCAATTAATAAAGCAGAGGCAGTTAAAAGCAGTAGGCCAAAGGCATCATGTTATTTATGTGTTTTTATTCATTAAAAATGAAGCATCTCAGCAAAATTAGTATGTTCATACTGCCCAGGCTGCCTCGCACATTGTAAAATTAATGCTTAGTTTGGATCTGTTTTTCCCCTTTATGACTGGAGGCTTTAATAGAGAGAGCACTAATAGTGTAACTGGGAGTTGTCCTGAAATTGGAAAGACCACTCTGTAAAGCTGTTAAATTCACCCCAAGTGCTCTGTTATTTTCCATGTTGTAATCGCTGAGAACATCCTGGAATCATCAGTGCATCCAACATCAGTATCAAAGCACGGTAGACATAATAATAAGTAGCATTAGTAGAATCAATGCGTGGAGTGGTGTCATATAGCAAAGCAAAGAGTGGATCTGCTTCCTGTGGCCTGCCTCATCACCAGAACAAACTCAGATTATCTGCATGTTCAGACAGTGCAATATTGATGTGTTGACTCTGCTGATTAATGTGTGTACACACCCTCCACCTTGACGTGGCTTTGCTGTCAGGGCCTAACAACAGTGTTACCGCCCCGTTTCGCTTCAAATGGCTCCTACAGCAGTCCGGGTTTAAAGTCTTTGCATTAATTAAAATGTTCAGGCCTCAGAAAGCATTCGTCCTGCGCACTAAATCATTATGATTGAATACATTTGAATCGCTGGTGTTCACATGACTTACCGTCATGCTGAGGCCTTGTATTCGCAGTCACATGAATCAGAACCAGTGCTATTTCCTTATAAATCTCCTTTTTGTTTCCACTTCATCCTGCACTGCTCCACACTGTGCTACCTGATATATGATGAATACTTATTCTAAATGTCTGAATAATAACCACGGCTGTCTAAAGCAGTACATTCCCCTGTGGTTTCCATTGATGAAGACCCACAGCAGCCTCAAAGCTCATGCTCCACTGACAGATCATATGATGGTCTGTGGATGGTTGATTACATTTACATATTCAGTACGGCAGCCAAGTGTTTTCCTCTCATCACGTACTGTAGTACCCATTACACTACCCTGTTTCCAATTGTGCGGTGATGTTGAGGTTGTTCCACCATACTGTTAATCACTTGTACAGGAGCTGGAGTGTTTGTCTTTTAATGAATCTGGTCGTACCAGTCCACTCTGACCAACTGACATCGTGTTTTTCACCTCACACGACACCTCCAGCCACACCTTAACCAGGCGAGGCTGAGCAGTAGCTCTTAAAACTTCTGATGGTGTGAAATAAAATCTAGCACAAAAAATATCTCCATTTAAATCCTCCTTTATTTGATGATTGTTCCCTCTGGTCCCTGTAGAAACAGCGAGCCTGGCTCTGTCCAAATGTCACAAAATCTGCTACCAGTACTTCTAAAAGCCATTATTTCACACATTATCACTCGCTTGAGTTTTACAGATGCTGGTAGGTAGATTTTGTTCATTCAGACAGAGCCAGGCTAGATTTTTACCCCTGTTTATGGTCTTTATGCTCAGCTAAACTAACTGACTGCTGGCTCCCGCTTCACATTAATCAGACAGATACAATAGTGGTATGAATCTCCTTATCTAACTCTTAGCAAGAAAGTGAAAAAATGTATTTTCTAAAATATCTGACTCATTCTAAAAGCCCTTCTGACAATTTGGTGCACTTCCATTGAGTCAGAATTTTGTAAAAACAAAAAGGTCCCAGTCTGGTCTCAGTTTTAGGGAACTGCAGAACTCCACAGAGAGATCCTGACTCTTTGGGTCCAAGCTTAGAAACTCTGGCTCTTCTGTCACCCTGAGAGAGGAGCCATAATGTGAACAATCTTAACTCTTTTAAGTGGGATGCACTCCCATGATGCAGCCATTTTTGGATGAAATTTAATTTTTGTTTTCTTTCACACCTGCCATTTTCTGCAATTTATTTAGAAATATGACTAACCTCAACCCAGTGTGAGCGTGTAGCAGTGCTGTACGTGGATGTTTTGTTCAACAGTGTTGGAAAGTAACTAAATGCCTTTACTCAAATTTTGCACTTAAGTAAAATTTTGAGGTACTTCTAGATTATGTTAAACTTTTTGCTACTTTATACGTCAACTTCACTAGATTTCAGAGGGAAATGTTCAACTCTCCAATACTTATTTGATTGACTTTAGTTTAGTTACCAGTTACTGTGCAGATTCTGGTTGATAAAACTGCATCTAATCAACAAGTAAATTATATTTCAGTTTCAATTTCAGTTTTATTTATAAAGCCCAATATCACAAATCACAATTTGCCTCAGAGGGCTTTACAGTATACGACATCCCTCTGTCCTTTGGACCCTCACAGCGGATAGGGAAAACTCCCCCAAAAAACCCTTTAATTGGGGAAAAAATGGGAGAAACCTCAGGATATTGTATTAGTATAAATTAAAGACAAATTAAAACTTTATTAATCTACAAGCTACCCAGCAGTATGTAAAGTAATCAAATTAGCTCCACCTTTACCAGCTGCAACACGGAGGTGATGAACACATTAATGCATAAATAATTAAATCCAATAACATACATTATGCTGAAATGGACCATTTTGCATGATGAGTACTTGTACTTTAATACCAAGAGCGTAGTTTTTTTCATTATTTGGTGGGACATTTGTTAAGTGGTGGGTCTGGGGTTTCTCCTCCAAGACATTTTGAGTGTCAAACACTTCATTTCCTGTGTTCTGGTGAATTTTTATGCACCGGTTTGTGCCTTTTCTGCATCAGTTTATGGTGGAAATGTCATCATACTTACTTCCTTCAACCATGCATATTGCTTCTTCTTAAATGCACATGTTCTTGATGTTTAGGGGAAAGTGTCCCCTGCTTCCCCCTGATATCTGTGCCTATGTTTTATACCTTAAGTATATTTTGTCATTTGACTTTTTTGAATGCAGGACTTTCACTTGTGAGTTACAGAGCATGTCTACAATGTGGTATCACTACTTTAACTATTTACTTCACTAGTTAAGGGTCTGAACTGTTGTTGAAATGTCCCAGGAGCAGCATGTTTAAGGAGAGCTGTCACATAAGAGTATTTACTGTGAAGGCCTGTCAGGGGAAACCCACCAGAAGACAAAGTTATAGTTGTAGTTGACAGTTGTTGTGCACATCTCAGAGCAGAAGGTCGCAATGTGTAGTGGACCTGTCATGCTTCATGCTTGTTTTCATTTCTTTGTGTGTGTGTGTGTGTGTGTGTGTGTGTACTCTGCTGTCATGCTGTTGTCACGATGTACAGCAATTAAGAGATACTGCGTGATGACAGACTTAAATATATGGGAGGCGAGGCGGTCCCTTAGGTGTCTCTTAGTATGGCTTACGTAGAAAAAAAACTTCTACACATGGACATGACATTATTCTTCTCTGTGTATTCTCATCTCACATTGTTTTGTGTTTTTAATTTGTTTCACCTGTCATATTTATATCTCAGTCATGTGATTGCCTCCCATTGGTTCCTGCTACTGTATAGGTG